GCAGACTGAAAATTAGACTTTTAACTGTAAAATTTTGGTCTGTTCGGGTACAGATTAGACCTCCATTGCCATTGCATTGGATTCAAATATTAAAGTAACCTTAAACTCTCTCACAGAGTGCCTGCACATCATTTAGTAGGCTAAATAGAGATCTGGTTAGCAAAAGAAGCAATTGCAGAAAAAGAGAGTTTGTATACTGGAATGGAAGACCATGGGAGGAAAAAAGTAGAGACCAGGTACCTTTTTACAAGTATTGCACTGTATTATGCCCTTTATTGCAGTGAGTTTTAAGTGATACTAAACATACAATGTTTAATTGCCATTATCCCTTATATTTGTATATAAAGGTTATGCTTTTGTATTTAATATAAAAATAATCTGAGTACCATATTTCATTGCTGTTTAATGGTCACATGACATTTCCCAGGTCTTTCTCATCCTTGAGTACTCTGCTAATGTATGCTTTACAGCAGCAGAGAATGTCTGGACTATGCATCTGTGTCTGCACAGTGCCAATTGGTTCTGTGGCAGTCACATGACAAAAAAAAAAAATTCAGAATAGAGAATCAAAATGAATAATTGATAGCAACAAAGTGCTTATTACAAATCTATATGTTAAAGCAAAGTTTTATTGCTTTGCAGTAACATGGTGTAGGCAAGTTGACTGACATAACTTTCACTTTTTTCACACTGTAAAGATTCCTGGAGGGAGGTTGCCACGCACCTCCGGCCTGTGTATGTGCTGGGAATAACAGGAAGGTGAAGCCTCCATCAATCACCATTTTATATCCTGCCCCCAGACTGTTTGGCAATTCAAGGACATGGAGGAGGAGGATGGAGGAAGGGCACTGTCCTTTACAAATGTGTATACGTTCACATGTGTGACTCTATAGTTACATGGGCTGCACAGATATGAAAAAAAGAAGGAAACAAACAGCTTAGAAAAGAACTGAAACTGGAGCATGCTCAGGTGTGGCAACAGCTGGTCTACACAATATCGGGCTGCAGCAGGGACACAGGCAAGGAGGGAGGGATAGAGAACAGCAGGATCCACCAGGGTTTTCGTAATCTACAGAAAACAAATGCTCTAGTGGCAAAGTGAGTATGAGCACAATGTAATATAGCAAGTATTGACAATTTATAATGATTTGTGTTTAGTTACACTTTAAAAGAAACCATAATTACAATTAATGGGAAAAGAAGGGATGAAAGAAGCAGAAGTGAAAGTAAAGCAAGTTTTCACAGCTGCTACCTGGGGATTGCTAGAATGCTATGACATGAAAGAGAACGTAATAAAGATCTTACAACAACCTCACTGTACAGGTATGGTCAGCTGGGATAGCAAGAGGAATGGCATGACATGGAAACCAATGTTTCCTTTTGATGTGTGTGAGCCTCGGTCTATGGTTGGCCATACGCTGTCCAGAAAGTAGATCAGTTTGTGTGTCTAGTCTTTACAATTCTTTGTGAAAACTTGTCCACAGTAACATTTTTCAGCAGAGGTCTTACCACATAAATCACTAAGTAACCTCAGATTTCAAACTGTGCGTCTTATTTATTGGTCTGTTTGTTTGTACCCTTTTATACAATCATAACATAAGATCCAGTAATAATTTTGTGAAGATGACAAGTGAGTATGAACTAACTCATTCTTCATCATTACTTTCCTTTTGGATCCAGAACTGCAAAGTTTTCCTTTTCTACTCCCCTCTTTTGCTGATTTTTTTTTTTCTTTCTGTTTGGAATGGTGTGGCTCCAGGGCAATACGCATCATTTTTTTTCCTTATTAATAATCTCCATTTTAACCCTGATGTACATAATACCCTGAGATTTTCATGTTTATATAGCTGTAAGATTTTGGTCATATGTAAGGGTCTTTCTGTCTTTTCTCATAATGGCATCACGGATTTTGCAGTCTCTGCTGACAACCACCACTGCTTTTTCACCACCTACCTAATGAAGACCCTGTTGACTAGTCAGTGGAAGAGCAGCAGGGCATAACTATGAAGTTGGAGAAAAAAAGGCTTCAATTAGTAGTGTTCAGGATACAAAGTTTCATGAGCCCACAAAAGAGGATTTGTAGCTTAAAGCACTTGCACTCAACTTTGGGTATCTCCACTTAATGTTAGCTGATCGTTTTTGGAAAAGCTGAAAGGTTTTAATGTGGAACTCCTGCCAAAACTGTGTGTTTCTTCTTGGATATATTGGGGAGTCTTTAGAACCTCTTTCCAGCTGTTTTATTTGCCTGTGTTAGAACCTCTATCAGATTGTCATTGCTGTCCGTGTCACCATTGGATAAATTTTCCCTTTTCTTGACACAAGACATAAGAGGCAAAGTCCCAAACCGAGTCATAGGCAGCAACGAAAGCATGGCAGAGATTCTAACTTTTGCTGCTCTGTACAAAACTTAAAAATATTTTGCCTGGAATTCCACTTTAAATTTCGCCTCTTCCCCAGACCATGGTCATTAAACTATGTATAAATTTTTAACAAGTGGTAAGAGGGCTTTAAAACAAGCCATCCCATCGCTTCACTGCTTTTAAAGTGATATTAAAACTATTTCAGCAGGTGACCTTAAGACTTGCTCAGCTCATTCATGTTTTAAAAATCGCTTTTCCACAGTTTCACCTGTTCCCCTTATTGCTGGCCCATTATCTGTTTTCCAAGGTGGCTCCATGGAATGCAAGTTCCTATGGAACCAACCTGTTCTGCATTCTCCCAGGAACAGCCTGAGATTGAAAGCAGCGCCCAATTTTGTGAATGATTGAGGTTAGGCAAGAGACAAGTTGGTCTTCATTGGGACCTTACAGTCTGATACTGGGCTGATATTTCTGCTAAGACATCAAGAGAACACATGTAATTACCAATACACTCATATAAGTGGGAGGTAAGGCTTTGCTGTTATAACAGCTAGAGGGTGGAGATTCAAATTCCTAAGGGTGCCCACTCCTAATGTGGTTTGTTTTTGTTTGCTGAATGTCCGTACACTATCCCCAAATCTAATAGAGGCTGAGGGATACAAATAGGAATTACATTTGGGGTTAGTGTACATGGGTATTTGACGTATATTTACAAAACTTTTGAAATCCATAAGTTACATTGTGTGGAGGAATAAAAGCAAAGTATAAACTGACCCCTAAAGTGGTTCTTTAGTCTCCTGTGTGAAAGTTAAGCCAGCAGCTACAAAAACTAGCTGCTGAGTTTTTAAAAAAACAGCCACCAGTCAAGGGATCCAGCGCCTGCTCATCCGAGTCAGTTTCTTCACCAGTCCCTGGCGCCAGCTTCTTAACTGTGAGTAGCTGACTGTGACTGCTTGCGGCTTCACGGCTGACTGCCCACTCACTGTGCATGAGCAAGCCGCGCTGCACCTTTTGAATGGTCCCGCAGCCTCTTGGGACCTGTGACGTGTCTCGAGGCTGCAGGGAGAGGAGGTGGACTTCTGCTCTAATTGCCTAGATGGTTGGAGCAGACGTGGGAATGGTACCTGTCAAAATTGGGTACCTACTCCCCCATCCATTCCAAAACAAATGCCAATTTTACCAGAGGAGGAGCAGTGGAACTTTCAGTTATGGGTGAAGCTTCACTTTATTAAAGGCATAGTTCATGTTTACTATTTACAATACCTCATGAAGCCTGACTGAAAAACTCCTAGAGATTGTAGCTCTCTGTTCTGCCTTTCTTCCAAGAAGTTGCTAAGACACTCACAGCTGTTACTGTTCACACACACAGTCACATGAGCAAGCTGTCAAATGCTGAGCTCAGAACTACTACATCAGGTGGGGGGGAGTGTGCATGTGTGGTAGTTTGAACCAGAGAAAGAGCTCACTCCTGTGATGGTGGCGGTGAGTAGTAACAGCTGGGAGTGTCTTAGCAACGTTCTAGCAACAAGGCAGGACAAGATGAGGCGATCTCTGGGAGTTTTTCAGTCAGTTTTCGTGAGGTATGTTAATGGCTTACACCTATAGCATTTTATTTTTTTTTAATCTACGGATGCCCTTTTCTGCATAGGCAATTCTTTGGTAAAGGTGAACTGTGCCTTTTAATGATCTCAAGTGTCCATGTCTTCATACTGGTGAAAACTCTAGTGTTTGTATTTTGCATGCCTCTCTAAAAACTCGTATAATAGTGAGGTTACATTGTTAAAACAGACCTGTACTATACGCGATAATGTTCCACTGGGTGTGTAATAGCAGGCACTTTCAGATTTCTGCTTGTTGGTTTGTCTTCCCGGTTGAGCTTCAGGCTCCATGCACATGGGGCGTTTTAATAACGCTGGTAACGTTAGCTGTGTAAAAGTAAAAAAAGTGAGTTTTTCAGAGCTTTTGTCTTAGCGGCGTGCCACATTTTTTCGCATATTTAAATTTTTTTTTTTTCTACCAAAAAAAAATAAATTTTGGGTTTTTTAGTAAAATTTCCAAAAACGCTGGTTTGCCGCGATTTACCGCGTTTTGCTGCATTTTTCATTGTTGGAGCGTTTTTACAGCTAAACTCCTCTAGAAACACACTAGTTCTGGGTTTGTTTCCAGCCTAAAAACGCCCTTGCAAAAAACGTTGATTCCAGTCTATGTGTGCATGGACACATAGGATAACATGCTGGGGGGTTTACTAGTTGTAGAAAAAAACGTCAAAAGCCAAAAACAGCCGCTGTAAAAATGTCCAGTGTGCATGAGGACTCATTGTAGCTCTGAATTCTTGGATGCTCCCGTATGCAATGTTTGTCCAATTTATTTGGCTGAAAGCCTGGCCCTGCCCTTCCTGTGCCTTACCATCAGCTGGTGAGGCTCCCCTGTAAAGTGAAGGACAGGAGTAAGTGAGGTCAGACTCTGCAATACAGAATTTGATTGCAGTTTGCATTCCAAAACTCATCGGGATTTTGGGCTCTTAGGGTGCTCAAAAGGAAACTGATGCACAGGTCCCTGGAGGTGTCTGCTGCTGCATGCTAGTGTTGCCTTGTCAGGTTTTTAATATGACTTTACATTTGTTAGATGCAACTTACTCTGCTACCCACATGATGTTTCCTAGTTATTGTGTACCACCAGTGACTGTGGGTATTTAAATTTTACTTCAAGCAGCATAAATAAATTTTGAGTAAGGACTTTGCTACTCTTACAGTTTCTTTACCAGATAATAGCACAGCCAAGAATGACCTTCAGTCCGAAGGATCATGGGCCTTATTTCATTAGCTATACCACCATCAGGAAGTCAGCTGTGTAGCAGAGTCCTAAATCAGACTGATCAGACTGAGAAAGTCCTGTGGAAAAGCTATATTTAAACAAGAAATGGATTTCTGACACCAGGAAGTAGAATGCATCAGTAAAAGTATATATTTTTTACCCTTTTGACACAGAGAAAAAATATTGAACGATGGAAAGTCATTAAGTCTAAAAATATATTGGCCGTCCATAGGTGCCTTTATATATACAGAGATTAGCCATTGTATTCCATAGCTGTGAGGTAAGAATGCAGCCCTACCTAAGAAGCTGACTGTAGAATTCTAACATCTACCTTAAACAACAAACTAAGGGTGGAGTAAAAGTGATTCAGATATTTCACTGTTCATTCTGTCCTCCATTGACTGCTGCTTTTTATTTTAGATTTTATTTCCTTCCCTGAACTTCCATTCCCTCCATCTGCTCTTATTTATTTCTTTAGGTGCCAAAGCAAATCCTTTGACAACTTTTCAGTTGCTCTGATTTGGCTGTTTTTTTTTTCCTGTGGAAGATGAAGTATACCATGCTATTTTTTATTTATTTTTTTTTGTAGCTTCTTTGATGTTTTTTTTTCTATGCAAACTTTGGTGATGCCCACTCGCTAAACATAATCACTGTACAGGACCCTTTTGAATCATAGAGGTCCTGTGAGATAATGAGCTTCACTATCTCCCAGGACCATCCATGCAAAAGGGTCAGAATCTGGTGAGTGACTTTGTATTGTGTTCTGCAGCCTGATCATTTTTTATGCTTCTCATTTTGTCTTATTTTCCTTAATGGGGAAATTAATTAATGAAATGCTTAGAACTGATTGATTAATGATATAACTGAAGTAAACCATAACATTCCAAGAAGGATATTTTCATGTTTAGAGGAAAAAAGTTTTTTACATGAACACTGAACACTACCTATGTTACTCTTGTTCCCCAGAAAGTGTCTTGCCACAGTAAATGAGTGAAAACATACTGGTGTGCACTTCACAGGTCTCCAACGTAGAGACACACACATTAATAAATCTCCACTGATGGCTATTGTATTCAGACAGCCACTGTGGGTGTCTGAATATCTGAACAGTGATGGTGTTTTGGCAGCCAAAAGCTGCTTTCAGGGCACGTACGACTCCAATAAGCCAAAATTGGAGCTGTGTATGGCCAAATTTAAGTGCAAGATGAAACAATTAACCCCTTGATGCTGGCGCCTCCTGGCCCTTTAAGAGGTTTCAGATGCCGGCAGGTGGGGCGGGGTTTGTTTTTTGTGTTACCACCTTTACTGACTGTCACATGATTAGAAAGCCCCCGATTGCAAGTTGAGATCGGGAGCTTTCTGACAGCCATCGTGAGTGTGCACAGTTCAACAGTGCTTTTTTTTTTTTTTTTTTTTTTTTTTGTACACACATATGTGGCCTCTCGGCACCAAGGCCCACCCACCAGTAGGCTGCATATTTGCATGCGGACAGCGGGAAGGAATTGAGGCATGAATAAAGAATTATTCCAGGTTTGGTATAGTTTTACAGCTGTGATCAGTGTAACGATGTATATACCAGTACCATACCTGACTGTTCCCTCTGAAAAGTGTACACTTTCTGAATGAATGTAACATGTTCTGTGATTGGGCAAGGAGGCCTATCCCACCTTTGCCCAGCTTGTAACAAATCTGTCATATTTTACAGACCTCGTGCAAGAAGAATACCCTTACCTGACGGCCACAGCCTGCACCACGTTGCAGAATTTATATCCTTCATGGCACTTTTTTCTCCATGACATGCATGTATTGGGATCCTCCAAAGAGAATAAGGGGTGTCATAAGACATACTGTAGGCACTCCACATGTGGGCCAACAAATGTGCCAATCAACGATGGAGAGAAGCTTTGTGAGGGATATAAACTAAGCCATGGCTCATGGCAACCCAAACGTGTTGGATAATTAAACATCTGCCTCTAAATTCTGTCAAGCGTGGCCCTTTTTTGTGACCAGGACCTATTTTGGTAAAGGTGGTAAATGGCTTTTTGCATTATTATATATATTTTAAGTGAGCTTTAAATGAACAACTACACACCGCCATTCACTGTTTAATAATTCTCTTAAGGTCTAAAAGCTTTCCACTGAACCATTTGAAAACACTCAGTACAGTGTGGTGGGTGTTGGTTTTTTTTTTTTTTTTTTTTTACTGAGGTATAATGTAGCCCATTATTTACAATTTGCCTTTGCACACAGGTGCGTAAATGAGCAATGCATTTCCTCAGTTAAAAAGAAGGAAAACCTGCATTTTTGATCAGTAATTTACACCATGCGTGCACAAATACATGCATGTGAGCATAAATATTGATGCATTTTCACTAAGAATATATTGTGAGCGCAAATGTGCAGCCATGCAAATACACGCATAAATTTGTGTGAATACGTGCAAAACAAATGCCTGAAATTACGTCTAAAAAATAGCAGATGGTCAAACATCAGAGCGGTGCAAGAAGCCTTACTAAGAAGCTTCCCCATACAGTTCAAGTTAGAGCTCATTGTATATTCAGGAAGATGTTCATATTGTAAAATGACTTTTTTCCTCTGTAGCTGGGAGTATTTACTAGCAGAGATTAGTAGTAAAGTGAAGGATTGGCTTGTGCTGGATTAGTGATGGGGACCCACCCAGTGTCCAGGGATCACAATGTGAGCGCTCACCCAGCACTCAGTCATCCAGAATAACAAACCCTTCATTCTGTTTCCTGTTTTGATAGTTCACTGGCTGTGCAAGTTTCCAGTTGCAGCATAAACATTAGTTCATTTCCCTAATAAATGTGTGAAATGCATGACTAATTTGTATAAATGTGTCAGCACTGTGGAAATTCTAATCTGACCTGTGATTGCTCTTCATCTTACAGTGGACTAAAGAGGATGGGCTGAGAACTGCCACCTCTACTGTCCCTAGTCTGTTTGTCCCACTGAACACAGATCCCAAGGAAGTGCAAGAGATGAGGAACAAGGTATATTACTTGCAGAGTCATTTTAGTAATGCATTGCTTATGTAATCGTTTTACATGTTTTGATAGATTTCTGCACCTGTAAATTTAGCAGAATAATGCTCCCTCATGGAGTAATGACTAAATGCATACTGAAGTTGAAATATACCTACACACGGTTATTGTGTCCATACTCCTTACAATCTGACCATTTTTGTACAATAAACTGTGGATTTACCAAAAATATGTAATATGAGGATCTTCCTAATTTATGCAATCAATGTGTATTCAGTCAGGCAAGCCCTTGTGCTACAAAAGTAATGTTAGATCTGAAGGAGATTGTAACGTGTGTGTGTGTGTGTGTGTGTGTGTGAGCTTTACACCCACTAAAGAATTTCATATACAAAAATCATCCACCACTGCTGTGCAAAAGGAGAGTTACAACACATTTCAGAACCTGTAGGTCTGCAAACTCCAGTTAGCTTCCTCTGCTGTTTGAATATTCTGTAGTCAAATCTAGAATTGAATTGTCATACTGTATAAGATAGGTTTATTGCACTTTAAAACCAATAGGTTTCAGGCTACACTCTGCTCTCTTTATTAGGACTGAAACACAAAAATAGCAATAAAGATTCATATAAATTATTATATAGTTGGTCATCCCCGTCAGAATGCAAAGGCACAGTGGGTGAGATCACTGCACCAACATCACTGGTGTTAGTACAGCGATCTGTGTTTTTTGTTTTGTTTTGTTTTTGTTTTGTTTTGTTTTTTTTTTTTTCCTTCAGCCCTTTTGGTTCAAATTAAATTTGTAAGCTCGAAAAGAGCAGGGCCCTCGAACCTCTCGTATATTGTTTTGTTACTGTATTGTCTCATGTACTGTCCCCCACTATATTGTACAGCGCTGAGCAAACTTTTTGGTGCTATATAAACACTGTATAATAATAATAAAACAAAACTAGCTATGTGTACTGGTCTTAAGGGTCTCTGTGTTTTTTGGGATTTTTTTTTCCCCCCCTTTATCAGTTTAAGCAGGTTTAGCATTCACATACAAATCTATGATAATGTAAAAACCACTTGAAGCAGGTTAAATGCAGGTCATCTTTACTTGTCAATGAATTCTGAATGATATCTGAAACGTCTTAACTTGTGTCATCGACACAAGCCGAAGATTGGTGACTCCAGTCTTTGCTGTACTAAAGAGCTGCAGCTGTCAAAGTATCTTTAGCATGCAATTCTTTTGATGCTTGGTCCCCCACTGTGGTCTATGGCTCCACCTGCCAGCCTATATACTACTACTGCTTTTTAATGTGTCAGATGCTGAAGATGCGTTTTTGGATTGTAGTCAAAGCAAATCAAATGCAGCTGTCTGCAGAATTTTGCATTTAAACGAATGCTTTAGCAACACTACACACAAATGCAAAAGCCCAAGTTTGACAGCAATGTCTGTCTACATGAGCCCTAAAAAGTCTATACTCCCTTATAAAGAATAGGTCACAGTAGGCACTACATGACAGAATAAATAGGCCTCAAAGGGGTTTTAACAATGGGGTGGATTTACTAAGAGCAAATATTGTGCACTTTGGAAGTGCATTTGCATTAATTTTCCCCAGAGCTTAGTGAATGTGGCGAACCTTCACTTCACTAAGAATACCTAATTCGGTGCAAGGAAAAAACCCCAGCACTTCGCTTGCAAATGGCTGGATTATTGAAGTCAGCAGAGCTTTACCACATTTACTAAGCTTTGGTGAAAAAATGTGTGCAACTACAATCTATATGCCTTTGGTAAATCCACCCCAATGGATAGTAGTATGAAACAACAAACTTTATCTGATACAGTAAGTCTTTAAAATGTATGAAAGAAAAAATGTGATTAACTGTGGGCAAACTTGCATCCTTTTTAACTGGAAGGCTTACAAGTTAAAGCAGAGCTGTGTCTTGTTTTATTTTGGTGTGCTTACTGTTCTGTTTTATATCTCAGATAAGGGAGCAGAATTTGCAAGATATCAAAACAGCTGGCCCTCAGTCTCAGGTCCTGAGCGGAGTTGTGGTGGATCGGAGCATGGTGCAGGTCAGTGCCCAGAATGGTTGTCACAATTAACGGTCATTTGCTTCTTTCATTGCTCTAACAATATTCTTTAATTGACAGAAACTGTCAGTGTTCAAGGTAAGTGCGAAAAGTGGCTTCTTTACTTTGCAATCCCGCGTAGTTGATAACTGTAAACACAATTGGCTTCAGTGTGTGGTACAAGCATGGCAGTGACAGATGCTTCTGATGCCATTGCTGATAGCCATGCATGCTGGTGCTGCCTAGTGACCTCCCCTTCTTGGTGGACCTGAATCTTTTGATGTTTAGTCTCCCTTGGTATTGGGGGAATAAATAACCTTCCTAAGTATGAGACAATATACATTTAATAAACTTTTATGCAACTGACAGTCCACCCTAAACTGGTATTTCTAGGGGAATAATAACTGCGACCTTATATTTCTTGGGGGTTCCAGTAGTTTGATCTCTCTCCTACGTTCATTTAAAAACAAAAGCTTGATGGGATCAGGAGACTTCCTGTTAATGTCGATAGATGGCCGATTCTGGAAACTCAGGAGCAAATATCTCTGCGATGGATCCCCCAATAAGTATAAGAAATTAGTGCTTGATTTAATCCACTGGCATCTAGAGACTGAAATTTTAGTTTTGGGTTGTTCAAACCCTTTAGATGCCATACCATGGTGGTTTTTATGCTTATGAATAAGCACACAGATTTGCCTGGTTTGTCTGTACCTTGTGATGGAACAAAAAGATCTGTCACCTTGGCTGAAATGGGAGCATTACACGGATTAGCATCACACCGCTAATACTAATGTGTTCTGTGCATTGTGCTATTGGTTAATTATTCAGACAACAATGGCAAATAAATATCATATCTACTTCCATCTTCAGAGCGATTGTACCTAAACTACATCTGTCATCATAGTCATGACATTAATTACATATACGTAATGTATGAAAATGACTTTTACAGCTTTTTCAGAGCTTGACATGAGATGTATTGACTACTTACGATGACAATGTACGATCATGGCTTTCTTTGAGCTCCTTCAATGTTTAGTCCCTGGTTCCGTACAAGCCAGACTGTTGAATTGAGTTTTCACCGACCTTATTCTTTTCAGCTTCACTGGTAATCTGCTTTCCTGTGTGTTACCGAATTCTGAAAATATTCCCAGATTTGCTTAGGAATAGTTCATTGTGTGAGTGCCTCACACATATATCTTGTAGTCTTGGGTGCAATCCTGTCTTTCATATTTTTAATCCGTCATTTCATTTCAGTCTTCTCACCTGTTCAGTTTCTGTTGCTGCATTTTACACGCATGTCCTGCCTTCCATTCCTTTCAAGCTGCATGGTTGTCTCACGCCCTTGATGTATTTCACGGTGTTTGTGAGGTCTGGTTTGCTGTGTTTACTCAATTTGCTGTTGCAGGATGCACCTCTTTCAGACTGTTCCGAAACTCTTGATGGGTTCGATCTGTCAGAGCAGGCTTTTAGTCCAGCTAAAATCCACTCAGTTAGAAAGGTATATACCGCCGTTCTTCTGCAAATTTGAGAAATTTAATGTCTTACACCTACAAATTAGGATTTATACTTTGTAACCAAGCTGAATAAAGTAGTTTACTTGCTATATGTGGTGTCAATTTTTGATTCTTGCTCATGACATTTAAAAAGGGATCAAAGTCGTTACCAAGTAGCTACAGGCCTCTTAGTTTAACTTCTTTAGTCGTGAAGATACTTGAGAGTTTAAAAGACCACATAGATGAGTTATTGCTAGAATAAAATATTGTACGGAAAAGGCACCATAGATTCACAAAAGACAGAAGTTGTCAAATCCCATTTCTTTTTATGAGAAGGTAAGCAAAACCTTAGAGAAATGAGTGGCTGTGAATATAGTATACTTAGATTTTGCCAAAGTGTTTGACAAAGTTCCCCACACATGGCTAATGTGGAAGGTAAAGTCTACAGGCTTGGAAAAATCAGAAAAAACTGTCTAAAAGTCCGAATTCTGACAGTAATGGTTAATGATTCATACTCTGAATGGTCTAGGGTTGTCAGTGGTGTACCCCAAGGTTCAGTGTTGGGACCCTAACTTTTAAATGTTTATAAATGATATAGGGTTTGAGATTAAAAGTACAATTTCAGTCTTTGCAGATAACACCAAGCTGTGCAGTGGAATTACATCTCCATGGATGTCCCCAACTAACAAGCCGACCTCAATTCACCATTTGATTCGGCAACTATGTGGCTAATGAGGTTTAATGTTGATAAATGTAAGGTTATGCACTCGGGGGCTAAGAATATGCATGCATCATACATACTAGGGGGGGTACAACTGGGGGAATCAATGGTGGAGAAGGATCTGGGAGTTCTGGTAGATCACAAGCTTAATAATGGCATGCAATGCCAAGCCCCAGTTTCCAAAGCAAAAGATCCTTCCTTGTGTTAAGAGCTATAGACTTCAGAGAGAGAGAGTATCATTTTAACCCTGTACAAATCATTAGTAATACCTCATCTGGAATATGCAGTTCAGTTTTGGGCACCAGTTCACAAAAAGAACATTGGGGAACTGGAGAAAGTACAGAGAAGGGCAACCAAACTGATAAGAGGTATGGAGGAGCTCAGCTATGAGGAAAGATTAGAGGAATTGAATTTATTCTCTCTTGAGAAGAGGAGATTAAGGGGGGATATGATCAACATGTATAAATATATAAGTGGTCCTTATGAATTTGGCTTAGAGTTATTTACCTTAAGGTCATCAGAGGACAAGGGGGCACTCTTTATATCTGGAGGCTTCTTCACAGTAAGAGCTGTGAAAATGTAGAACAGACTCCCTCAAGAGTTGGTTCTGGCCAGCTCAGTGGATTGCTTTAAAAAGGCCTGGATTCTTTCTTAGATACACAAAATATAACTGGATGCTAACATTTATACATAAATGTATCCAGGGAATATCCAATTGCCCCATGGAGGATTGGGAATGATTTTTTTTTTCCCCTGCTGGAGCAAATTGGATCATGCTTTATTAGGGGTTTTGCCCCTTCCTCTGAATCAACTGGTGTGGGTATTGGATTGTGTGTGTAAATATACAATTGTATATAATTTTGTTCCCTGGTATTGGTTGAACTGGATGGACTTGTGTCTTTTTTTTTTTTTTTTTTTTTTTTTCTCAGACTATGTAAAGAACAGAAGTACTGTAGATTATGTTAAACTCATGTGCCTCAGTTTGGCACTCCTTTGTTTAAAAATGAGCAAAATCCACAAGTTTGTTGTGGGCTTCTAGTTTGTTTGTTTTTTTTTTTTGGGGGGGGGGGGGGTTTATCACATTTTCATTTAAATGTGTTAAGTAAATATATTTTTAAAGAGCTTGATTGTTAACTAGGAGCATGCATGCCTAAAATGATGGCCAATTCTGTCTTTAATAAAATTCTGTATGTACTGTACAATCCTATGGATGAATACAGCGTTGCCGTTCAAAAAAATCTAAAGGTCTGAAGTGGTTCAATAATTAGGGATGCTCTCTGGGAATAGGAGTAGCAAGCTAATACATGAATGGCTACATTTGCAAGATTGCTTGTTTTGCCTGTATATGTGTTAATGATGCAGCATTTTTTTTAAAATCTCTTACGTTCTATATTCAACCTCTATTGAAGTGAAAACTGGAAAAATGCCTTTCATGATTGTATATTTTCCAGTTGTATTCTGTCATAGTTGGTCTCACTTATCTGTGTCATATGACACTTATGAGTTCATGCATGTCAAGTTTTGAAGGTAGAAAGCTCTAAGAATTCATGCTTTGAAAGTAGAAAGCTTCAAACAGAAAACATTCAGGTTTGAGGAATCGCAGTGCTCAATATTCATCAGTGATAAAACAGCCTGTCTACGTGTTAAAAACATTCTTCAGGTGTGTGAGATCCCAGTGCAAAACAGTCCATCCAGTGCTCCTCCACCTGCACACAACTGCTTACAAGAGCAATAGACCCCACATTCACAGAGGTCACACATCGTTTTAGCACAAATCCCATATGGATGGCTGGATCAGATTGTTTCCCTTTCAAGATGCCAATATCAGTCTCCAAAGCGCAATAATATTCAGGAGGAAACACAGAACAAAACTCCACAGTGTAGTATTATGGACACCATTTATTATTGCAAAAAATATTGGTACTCACAAACGAATCTCATGCAACTTAACAGAAAATGCTCCCTTTGCCAGACATGATGCACTAGGAAGATTTCCCTTGAGACGAAACATGCGTAGGACGGAGCATAGCAGTGATCTTAGTACGTCTACCAGAGAAAGGGAAGAAGTTTCATGTTATGCTGCACAAAACCTTTTTTTTTTTTTTGAGTACCAATATTTCTTACAATAATAAAAGTTGTCCTTAATATTATGCTGTAGAATTTTGTTCTGTTTCCCCCCCCCGAATATTATTGAGCTTTGGGACTGGTATTGACATCTTGAAAGGGCAATAGTCTGATCCAGCCATCCATCTGGGATTTGTGCTCTAAAGTGCTGTATGACCTCTGAATGTGGCGTCTATTGCTCTGGTAAGCAGTTCTATGTGCAGGGGGAGGAGCACTGGATGGACTGTTTTGCACTGGGATCTCACACACCTGAAGCATGTTTGTAACACACAGATTTTGTTTTATCACTGATGAATATTGAGCTCTGTAATTCCTATTGATTGGGTATTACTATGTGTTTGAATTGGATACATTTTACACAATATCTGGGATTTTATGTATATCTGTTGAATTTATCATTTTAAACACAGCGCAACACATTTTTGCTGATATCGGTTTGTGTGTCCAAATAATAGTAAATGCAGCTCTCGGCAGTTTTGTTTTTTTTGTTTTTTGTCATAGTGATAGTTTGAGCACTTACTGAGTGCAGTATTTTGGTTTACTAGATCTAAACACTGCTCTGACCAAATACAGTGTGTGCCTTGTTCTTCCAGTCTCACACCTTGTGTCTTCTATTTACAATAAACTCTATAGGGATTATTTACTAATGCAGGAGAGTTCAAAATCTGGTGCAGCTCTGCATAGAAACCAATCAGTTTCCAGGTTTTATTGCCAAAGCCTAATTGAACAAACTGAAGTTAGAAGCTGATTGGCTACCGTGCACAGCTGCACCAGATTCTTATAAATGCCAGGTCTGTTCATTCCATAGCAGCTGAATTGTAAAAGAAGGAAGCGACAGAAAATGTAAAACACAAAAATTTTTTTTTTTTATAAATATATATTTTTTATACACTTTTTATTTTCTTGTATTTTATAAATCTAAAACCGATAATACAGTCCATGTGGTACTAATATGTAGATTTTTAAAAGCTTTTTGATTTTCATTTTTCTGTGTCAGGGAGAATTGATTACCGCATCAAAAGCCATCATTGAGAAGGAGTACCAGCCTCACGTCATAGTCAGTAAAGCCGGACCAAACCCTTTCAACAAACTGACAGACCGCGAGCTGGAAGAATATCGGAGGGAAGTTGAGCGTAAACAGAAGGATACTGCAGGTTCGTGTCTTATTGCTTTTAAGTGATATAGATGATAAATGGAAACCTGCTACAGGAGAAAACCAGGGGCTACCATTTCTTAAATGCATGTTGCCTTGGCAGTTCATGTTAACTCACTGAACTGAATGCTTTCGAAGTTGATGTTGGGGGGGGCAAGCCTGTGGATAAGGAAAGCTGGGGACATTCCGAAATCCTTTTCTCTATAAATTGTACCTGGTTCGTGACTCAACATATCGAAGCCGGAGTGTCAGTATGGCAGCCACCTTCAGCGAGGGAGGTCCGCCACAGCTGCCTCTTTCATGTCAGTTTTTTTTTTTTTTTTTTGCACTGCAGTTTACATAATGCACTTTTTGGATTTTGTTTTACTTTTGCCAAGTTCCATGTTTAGAAGTATCTATTTTTTTTCCTTCCATTTAAGCGCAGGATCCATGGTTGATCCATTTAAGCGCAGGAGATTGTTCTTTATATATATATTTTTTTCCTTTCGTTTGTATATTTTTCTGAGGTCAGCTGTTGTACATTGTTTTTTTTCTGTACTAGAACAGGGATTATAGGAGTCAGATCATTTATTTACTCAGAGGTGTGACCAAATCTGATAGATCCAGCAAGCTGAATTTGAACTAAACCCACTGATGTATTTCCCAAAACCGTTACATTCAAGTCATGCCTTTGGTGATAACCGTTGCCAGTTTCAAGCCAGCCAACGGTTGTAAAAGATAGAAGAGTTTAGTTCTACTTAAATCGTCAGTCTAGGTCAGTGTTTCTCAACCTTTTTTCAGTCAAGGCACTCTTTAACATGAACAATGTTGAGGCACCCAATTCTAAAATGTAAAAAAAACCCTAAACGAATAGTTTTACACAATGCAGCAACATCCCGGTACATAAGACACCCATCATTACAGGCAATTGGCTCATTCAAAGCAAACACAGCTTTGCACACTGGTAATGTCAAGTATTCCAATGTTTCTTTTCCCTGTCAGTTTCTCTCCCTTACGCTGCTAGTGTGACACCAGTGCTAATGGAGAGGGGGGAAAGAAGAATGCTGTGCTGGCACCCAACGTCTTCCTTTTCAACCAATGAAACACTGGTGGCTGGAAGGTTACAATGGTGCATAATGAAAACCTGTGGCTTTGTGCAAATGACAGGCTTGATATAGATTTTTGGGCAATTTTTAGGCATTTTGCCAAGGCATCCAGGTTGAAAAAGGCTGATCAGATCATAAGTTCTGTAACTGAAACGACCGTTAATAAGTATGAATAGGCAAGCTTTTAGACTGGGTTCACAGTGCGATTTTATGCTTGTTTTTACACACCGTGTTAAGGGGGTGCTTCCATTGACTTCTATTGGACTGTGCATTTTCTGGAAGTGCATGAAAGATGCAGCATGTAGCACTTAGATGCGCTTTCAGGAAGACACGCAATCTAGTAGAAAACAATGGGAATGCACCAAAAAAAAAGTGTGAAACGCGCATACAGTCGCGCTGTGCCCAAACCGCAACGCACCGATATCAACTCAGCCTTACTGTATAACCGCATATGATCAGTATCTAAGCATCATCCGACTGCCACCCCTCCCTCTCCCAGTCTGAGCGCTGGTGTGCAGAAGATAGCAGGAGGCAAACATTAGAAAAAAATAAACTACAGGTATAACATAAGGTGTATTTAAAATGCGTTTTTGTTTTTTTTTTTTAAATTAATGATAAACTGCCATGAATTCATTTTAAATTAACAATTTTCCCTCCAGAGGATTTACCCCCCTTCCTGACCAGGCTTTTTTTTGCATTATTTTAACTGACAATTGTGCTGTCATGCAACGCTGCACCCAAATGAAGTTTACATCCTTTTTTTTTTTCCCCCATGAATAGAGCTTTCTTTTGGTGGTATTTGATTGCCTGTGCGTTTATTTGTTGCACTATTCTAAAAAAAAAAAAAAAGACTGACAATTCTGAGAAGAAAAACAATTTTGACTTTTTGTGCTTTAACATGTCCAGTAAAAAAAAAAACTTTAAAAATCAAATTTCATCATAAATTTGGGCCAAAATGTACATGTCTTTGCTAAAAAAAAAAAATCCCAATATATGTAAATTAATTGGTGTATGTGAAAGTTATAGCGTTTTGCAAATGGTGGTGTTTAATAGTAATTGTAGCGATCAGCGACTTATAGCGGGACTGCGGCGGGCATTCTGACACTGGGGGGAACTGACTTGGTGTCACTGACATCCCCAGTGACACCAATACACAGTGATCAGTGCTAATAAAAGGCAATGACACTGTTTTAATGGACTGGGCAGGAAGGGGTTAACATGTAGGGCGATCAAAAGGTTAACTGTGCTGTTTTACTGTGGGCTGTGTCTGTGCTTTCCACTGTAAGCACACTGCTTTGTATGGCTCTGCTATGCAGAGCCATGCAAAGCAGTGTGTGCTGGAGCTGACGGGAGAGAACTGTATTGTTTACTTACCGTTTTCTCCCTCTGTCGGTAATGCTCTGCGATCACCAGGTGCCAGCGAGTAATCACCGTCCGGAACCCGGTGATTGACAGCCGAGGCTGCAAATAGTGGCGTGGGTAGGGCTCACGCGTGCCCCCTACTTGGAAGTGTGAAATCACGTATATATACGTGATTTTGCTCACCCCTGCCGCCCTGTAGCAGTATATCTTCAATAGGGTGGCAGGAAAGCAGTTAAACACTGGAGTTTATAAACTGAATTCTGATAATAAAAGGTACATAACGTATTCTTACTTTGTATTGTGACCTATTCGGCATTCATTGTTGCAGATTTATAAAGTAACTAAAAAGTCAATTTAACCTCTGTTCTACAATGTGTACTTGTTTACTTGCGCATTCTCCAGAAACCTATCAAGGTGAGTTGCCCCTTTATGGGGACTCCAATGAATCTAAACTGGAGGAGAGTCAGAATGCAAAGTCTACTGGGGTTCGGGCAAACTTCATAAGAGTGGAAGAAACACCAGGTGATGCTGAAGATCACACAGTAGAAGACAAGGAAAGCAAGGATACCGAAGCTTCCCAGGAATGTCAGTCATTGCCAGACAGGCTATTAATCCTAGAAGTGTCTGCTACAGGGCCAGAGCTGGAAACACAATATGAGTCACTGAAGGGAGCAGATAATCCAGACTCTCCTCACAGAGAATTCCACACTGCTGTCATCCGGGCACTCAACCTCAAACCCATCCATTTGCAGGGTCAATCAGGTATCTGCCAAGAGGCCACCTCCCTTCCTGATGATCACACTACCAAGAATCTGGTGCAGGGAAATCTGTTGGCAACTTCAGGGGTCTAAATTTTTTTCTAGATTTGAATAGAATGGGGAGGTTTTAGACTTGTCAGGTCTTGAGTGCTGTCCTCACTATGGAGATCATCCCTCACTATCTTTCTGATCATTTTCACGGACAGAAATCCGGGTGTAATCCAGCATTTTACTCATGTTTGATGCACTGAAAGAGCTGTGAAGTGGGGATATTTCCTCTCATTTCTGTTTTTGACATTTTGGACAGGGCATGAAGGCAGCAATAAAAACCTGACAAAGGCTCTAACCTTTGCATACTTTCTTTACTCTAATGCTAAAATAATTTGTCTGGACTTGTACTTTTTAAGAGCTGAGGTGATTCTTTTTCTGCATCTACTATGCTGACTTTCCTCTGTAACCTGACCTGATTTATAGATAATGAATGATCTGCTCTCAATTGCAATCTCCAACCAGATATTGATTGTAGGTCCGCTTCAATTATACTTCTGATTATCACAGGGTGTTCTGCAAGAATCCGTTAAGTCTTCTGCTTCTAGGTGGTGGCTAATTATTTCAAGCAAGCAATTAGTACTCATAGCTGCAGTTCAAACACTGAATAACTCACCTTTCTGGTTTTTCGCTGAAAAAATGATTAAGCAGATTAAGAAAAACTTCCTCTTTTCCTTTATGGAGGAAGTTGAACCTCATGTCACACTGATATATCATTTTATTATTTGATTTGTAACTAGACTTCAGTCAGACTGAGGTGGCATTGCATTTATTGCCAAATGGGTTTTACAACCCTGAATAGTTAATAATTAAAAAGCAACTTTTGAATATCTTTTTGCTTGCTTTACTTGAATGGCTTATAAATTTGTCCCAGATTGCCAACATTTCCTCAGGTAAGTGCCTGATGAACTTGTTTGTCCTTCCTCTCCAGATCAACCAGAGGAGGTGGCAGAACACAAGGACATACTCCCAGACACCTCCTTAGTCCGCACTCCTCCCAGTACACCAATCAAGCAAGAAGAAGGTATGTTTTGCTTTATTCTGGTGTGATGCTACATAAATTATTTACAGGTTTAAAAAAAAAAAGTACCTACTTTTAACTTTTTGTTTTGTTTTTCTAAAAATGTAAAACATCTCTGGCAGCCAAGCCATAGATACACAGTAGTTACTTGTTAGTTTTCTATTCACTGGATACATTGTATAGGCTTTTCCGCCAATAGGGCATGTGTCGACGGGCTTGTGGGGTAGTCACAATTGGCATCTATATGAGATGCTTCTGAGATTCAGAATTCATTTGACATTGAATTCATTTGACCCTCACACTTGAAGCTAACCAAAACCCATTGACACAGGCTTATCTGGTGCCGATTGTGGTACCCATTCTACCCCTCGATCACACGCAGTCATCTGTTCCCTCTCCATGTAAAGTCAAACACCTCTGCACAGCTTCAATACATACTTTATTTGTATCAGCATATACACTTTGGAAATATCGATTTTGCAAAATGATCAGCTGGACACACATTTCATACATTTAAATGTGCCTAAGGGCTCATTCACACCTACAGGACTCTCTCCCTCCTCTCTAAAACACAATCCACTGCGGATCACTTTTCAGAGGGCAGGAAAGCAGCTGTTGCCAGGCATGCAGGAGACAATACTGCCACCTTCCGAACGCCTTCTTTCCCCCATCAATATGTAAAGTTTGGAGTTTAAGTGATACCCCTTCATTGCTCCTCATGTCTAAATGTGAGTTTCAAAAGTGTATGAAGCCTGTCAAATGGTACAAAGTTATCATGAAAGCTTGTATGTTTAAAAGAGAAATATGGCCAAAGCTTTTTTTTTTTTTTTTTTTTTTTTTTTTTTGCCATACTTCTTTTGGTGGGTCACAAGAGTGCACTTACCTTTTTGTTTTCCTTTGTCCCAAAGTCAGCTGATAGCGGACTATTGCTGCTGTCAGCTGACAAGGCAGAGCTGCTCTAGACTGTGGATGGATTCTGAAAGCTGGCTCTAACTCTCTGCGTACGACTGAGAGCCGGAGTCAGGTGCGCCCATCCCCTCTCCAGCCAGGCACTCCATTGAGCGCTGGAGAAGCAGAGCCAGTGAATAAAAGTCAATATTTTCCGCTCCCAGCTGAGCGATCAGCAGTCATGTGATCGCTCAATTCTTGGATTTGGAGCAGACGTGGGACACCTGCAGCCTTACACCAATGCCGCAGCACAGAGGCGAGTATGAATGTTTGTTTTTTTTTCTCACTACCCCATACTACCTTGCAATAGCTTAAATTTGGCCATAAAGGGTATCACTTAGATTGCAAAATCTCTATGCCATTCGATGGCTAATGCAGTACAAATCTGTTCTACTCAATACATGTGGTGAAAAGACGCTAAAGATTTTAAGCTGTTGATATATAGTGCAGGCATTCTTCCCCAAGTACGAGCTGCCTGTCACAACTTGGAGAATCAGGACCCATTGCATTTTCTGTCCAGTGCTGACTGCTGCCATACATTCAGAATGTTTGATCCCTTACTCATAGAAAAGCAAAGGATTAGAACCCACTCCAAGGAGACAGTTCATAAAGTTGCATTCAAGCCCAGTTTTTTTTTTTTTTCTTTGATAATTTGTTTTTATTATTATTATTTCTGCCTGTGCACCCATTACGTTCTTTCAATGGAATGGAGGAAGAAGCACTACATGAAGATTGCATGTGCTCTTTATTTCATATCATAACTGCTCCAGTAGTTGAGAGCTAGGCGAATAAATGCAAATGGAGCATTCATTTAAATGCTTGTGTCATTTTGCCAGTTATTGTAGGATAAAGTCTGGCTGGTGAACTTGTATATCAGCTTGAGGGCTTGCTACTACTTGTTACATAATGGCTCACAGAATATTGGTTGATCAGTTTTGCACACATTTATACATATACATTCTGGTTTTAATAAAACTGGTGCAGGGGGAGATTTACTAAAGCTGGTGCAGCTTTTATTGTCAAAACTTAATTCAACATGCTGAAATTAGAAGCTGATTGGTTGCTATGCACGGCTGCACCAGATTCTGTGTGTTCCAGTTGTAGTAAATCTCCCTCACTGTGTCCTACTATTACTCATGTATTCTGCACTACTTGTAAGAATGTGGGACTGGTATACAATATTTGGAGCAAAAGACGACCTGAGCAGATTTTCTCAGCAACCAATCAGGTGACTCTTGGTTGCTGTGAGCACTTGCACAACTTTAGCAGCAGATTTTTTTTTTTCCTGTACATTGGCCACTGTGCGGCTCACACCAGTTGTATGAACATTGCTTGTTATTAAAAAGACATTATCTGTCTTCCACATGCTGTATATATATTGCCCATTACACTTGTATACAGCAACCTTGCATGTTGGTTTTATTGCATGCAGTTTGCATGGTGGTAACATAACTTATCTCGTCTGGCTGGATATGATTTTATGACCCGCTTTCATGTGGTTTCTGATGTCTTTATGTACTGTTGTATTTTGTACCAGAACATACATTTAAAAAAGTGTATTTAAATAAAATATAGGTGGGTAAAGCAACACTTCAGATAGATGAGACATGATTAAATATACAGTAAAGATTGACAGCTATGAAATAAAATGAATAGGTCAGCCCCCAGTGTCTAGCCCATCTACCTGAGCTGTCTGAGTATTGTCTGTGCTCCCTCTCCTACATATAATACCATATGTCTGAGTTATCTTCATTCAGATCCGCACCTCTTGCCTTTTATCATCCCTAGATTGTTGCCAGCTATTCATTTGACTTTTAAACCGCTTCAATGAATGCATTAGACTTTTTTTTTTCTACTTGTGCTTTTTTTCTTGTGGCTGCCAAACAGGAGATGGATATGCTAAAGAGTACCTGTTACCATAGTAAGTATCATCTCATTCTTTGACCTATTTCCTTTCCTTTTTTTTTACTTTTCCTCCAATCCTTGTGTGCTTTGCTTCATTCTATCGCGTCCTTGTTTTTAATTTGGTTACTCGTAAATAGCCCCTTGTTTAATACTAATTGTCCTAGCCATTGCACTCAGTTGTACGATTGTGAGATGAGTAGTAGTTAGAAAGCAGCAAAGGTGGTAGATTACAGCCATCCAATCAATGGGGGTTAAAAAGCTGAATTCATGAACAGAATAGGAAAGTGTATGTTTGCACACAGGGTTTGTGTGGAGATAAATTTTAATTTTTATTGTAAATCTGCAGTTGTGTGCCTTGTTGTTTTGAGCCCCTTATTGCTGACTCTCATAGATACCTGTTAAGGAGGTAACAAACAATGCGGAGGATAAAATGCACCTATAGTAGCATATAAGTATATTGGTGTTCATTGAGGAGCCCTGTGATACTATTCAGCAAAAAATGTCTTCATTATCTACCCCAGATGTTTAACCAGAGACCGAAAACAGGAGTGCTGAACAAATCACAGTTGGTAGCTATTTCTGTATCCTGAAGCTACCCTTTTTCACTGCCAGAGCCCTTCGTGACTGATTTAGGCTGCATGGAACCTTTAAAGCCAATATGAAATCACATTTTTATATTACATAGATGCAATTAGGTTGTCTTTTAAACTAAAGCATGTGGCAGGCTGCTTTCTTTTAATGTGTTGATGCTGCAGCCATTCATAACATTTCTGTGCTGATGTTGGAGATCTGAACGGCTGGTCTCCGCCCCTGTGCAGTCCTCCAATCAACAATTTTGTTTGTGGACCCCGAGTGTTTTTAATTGGTGCACTGCACAAGGGGCGTATAAAATGGGTCCAGATCTCTAGCTTGCTTCTGGTACAGGAGACAAGGATAAAGGCTGCAGCACCAACCCATTGTTAAAAAGATTAAAATAAATTTAAAGAAAAGTCTGCCACATACATTACTGCAGCATGACTGCACCCATGTTATAAGAGAGGTGCTTTCAACTGGGCTTTGAATAGTAATTCCATATAATGATACTAATAAGTCTGTCTTTGGTAGGAGAAAGCTGTTATTTTATCCAGATCATACTTCTGCAGAAGAGCAAAGGTCATCAAATCTAAGGGTCTTCAAACTGGGGCTAGATGTGGCCCTTTGCTTGCCATTATCTAGTCCTTGAGGCATAATTCCTGCCACTGGCAAGGGGGCATTATTCCTGCCACTGACACCAACAGTGTGACACTATTCCACTGAAAACAAAAAATGGGGTACTTTTGTACTACTGACACCAACTATTTCTCCCCCCTAATACCAAGGATCGGGCATTGTCTACTCATACCGGGTGGGGGGGGGGGGGGGAGGGGAATGGGGAATAACCGTTCTAGTGCAGCAGTGGTCTAATGCTCCAAATAAATGTACAAGTAACACTGAAATTGTGACAGGAGACCCCAGACACATCATGAATAAATGCTTGCAATTCTTTGCAAAAGAGAATAAATTACTTATGGGTTATTTCTAGTTTTACATGGCACCGATTGGATGTACTAAGAAAAATGTCAGCCTCCATTTCCAACAGCTTTCTGAAAATGCTGGCTTCAGAAGGACCGACACAGTAACCAGGCTACAGACCCTTTTAGGAGGGGTTGGCAATTGGAGCCCATGTATTTCTCTTGCACGGGTTCCCTTCATAGTCACCCAGCCCCTTAACTGGCTTAGAACACCTTCTGGTGAACTAACATTTTTACCTAGTTGTAGCCATTAGCTGTGTGGGTGGGGAGTTCACCTAGAGACCTTCTGAACGGTGGGTACACAGAAATTTAAATTTCCTTTTCCAGAAGCTTATTTGCATACAAGGTGGTATCAAAACGTTTTGAGACTACTTTTGTAACACACCAACAGATGGAAGCACAAGGCTGCCTCCATTAGTGTGCCGTGGGTGACCTGTCCCTCATGTCGAGGATCATTATCAGTGATAAAAACCTGGGTGTACGGGGCTTCACACAGAATTTCATGTTTGCTTTGTTCTAACTTGTCCATGATGAAATGGCAGACATGGTAACACACGTGGTCAGAATAGCACCAGTTGCACAGCTCCCAATGTACACAGG